AGTCTTGAATCCACTCATTCTGTGGCGGTGGCTTGCAGGGCCATTAGATGCCTGTTAAGCCAAGCCGACTGCATCCTCAATCTGCTCTTTGTCCAGTGGAAATACTATGTAGTGAAAGGGGAAAGAGGAGACAAAATATAAAAACCTCTAGGAAATTAGAGCACATTAGTTCTGCTGCTGACAGGAATGCGTGCTCATTATAACAATAGATTCTTGCCAAATTCTGTTTGAAATGTGTTTTGATTTTTTAGGTCTGAAATCTCTCCACACCGTAACATCTCTATTTGCCTTTACTAAAGCTTGTGACTCAGCTGGAGTCTTTGAAACTTTTCAGTTTGGTATTTTTTATCAAATACCATTTTTATTGATATTGACCATTTTTAAGGTCCTTAATTTACCAGTTAGAAGCCTGTGGTGTTCCTTACAAGAGCTAATGAAATAAGTGTTAAGAAACCATTTAGTATGTTAAATTTTTTCTTTCAGCTGCTAAAACAGGAGCAAACATGCCTTTGGACATGGCTACCTGTCTTAGACTCATGTCAGGTTAGTGTTCTGGCTGTGGTTTAAGATGTTACTGTCTTCAGCTGTTTGTTTTGCACCCCCCCCCCCCCCCCAGTTTTGCTGGCATACCTAAATAGTGTGTCACTTCTTAACTCTGTTCTGTCAGATGATCTGGGTTAAAACACTACCCTTATTTTTCCTTCTAATGCAGAGAACTTCTGGCAGGAGAAATTAAGTGAAGACATGTAGTTATACTAGTTGCTGAGGAGAGGGAGAGACGTGGTAAATTTTAATAGAAGACGGTAAAACCCTTACCTGTCTCCACTGCAGCCAGAAATGTATCTGACTGTAGTTGTCAGTTAACAAGTATTCTGCTAATGGTAGCTTGAGAATTTAAACTTGTATGGTATGTCTTCAACTCTTACGTTGTAGGTATGGATTAGGTAAATAATGTCTCCACCCTTCATAAAATAACTGACAAAGCAAAGCATTGCAAGGAATGGTTAGCATCAAGGGCTGGTGTAGTGGCAGATGAACAGTTTTGTTTAAAGAGTTTCCTGTAACCTTCTCAGATGAAATTTGAATTGTTACTATTAATAAACTATTTTCTAATTGGTCTGTTTAGTTCATTGGTAATGTGTTGTTCAGACTTGAGGGTTATTTTAAATCAGTTTCACTGGGTTGATTCCCAGACATATTTAAACCTTTCTAAAGATGAACTGAATTTTTGTAAAGATAAATTTACTTACGGTATAAGAGAAGATTTAAAGTGAGGAAGTGCATAGATATAGCTCACTTAAATAGTGTTACTTTTAATAAAACAACACAGTCTTTGGTTCAGTTTTGAGATGTCTGAGTTACAGGACTACTGTAACCTGTTCCAGCCTTTGCTATACTTTGCATATGAACTTTCTTTTGCATTCTTGAAATACTAAAGAAGTATGTGTAAAATATTGAAGAGTGGAATTATTTACTTTTGGTAGAAGGCCTTCCTAAAATTGTAGGCATTTGAGATGGTGAAGGCAAATTGAGAAGGGGGAAAGAAAGTAATTTTACTATAACTAAATTCAGTAAACTTAAGTTTTTGCTTCATGCAGTTTATTTTTATATGGTTTGAATCTTGGTGAGGCTAAATCATATTTACCATTAGAAAAAATCTCTTTGCATGCAATGTTTAAGTATTTGAAAATCGTATATTGTAACTGAACAGTTGTTCGTATTATTAGTTTCTGAATCTAAAGACTTTGTGATTTTTAGGGCTAATCACTTGAAAATTGAATTCTTCCCAGCCCTTTCTCTTCATAAAAAGTGAAGACAGAATTTTGGTTGATTCCTTTTCTAGCTTTTATATTGTTTAAATTTGACTGTTTTATTTGTTGATTTCATCGACAGGAGAGCAAAAGAACTTGCTTTTAAAATCCTTTTAGAAAGCACTATTGTGAGGTTTTGTTTTGTGAAACACTGCATAGTCCACGGAACTATGGACTGTTTTTGTATTACAACAGAATTGAACCTTTAAATACCTGAGGTATTAAAAATCTATAGTAATGTTAATTTTTTTTGGTCATACGAGCCAGTTGTCCTATCAGATCATTGACTAGGATGTGAAGTATCTTACAGGTTACCCTCAGTATGTACTGCTGAGCCCTTAGGAATTAATTTTGTAGGTGCTGCTATGAAACTTTTTTTTTCCTGCACAGACACAATATTGTGTGCGTATACAATGGTCAGCTTTAAAACTGGTACCGCCTGACGTGCATAAATTGTATGTGCTTCCGTAGGATTCTGGGTTTTGTGCATTCAGAGTTCGTACAGTAGTCTGTGTCACCTGTTGCACTGGAGTGGCTGGGATGCTGGTAACAGCAGTACTATGGTTGATTGAAAGTGGTTTGAAAGGTACGCAGTTGTAGACTTTTAGGGAAACTTCCTTGTAAAGTAGTTGCTGGAGGATTGTAGGTGGTCTCTGCCTGTCCGAAGTGTTTCTTTCCATTACTCCCCATGACCTATGTTTAATAAGTGTGTTATTTTGAAATGAAGGGCTTTCTAGTCTAATTCTTCAACTCTCAGGAATAATTTTAGAGGGTGTCCACATTTAGATAACTTGCCAGCTAGGAAGGAATGGTGAATGCCATTGCTCTGTATTACTTTATAGACTCTGCTGAGTCTGGCACCTAGTGCTTGATTTCTGTAGCACCAAACATAGACTCTCTCTTCCCCAAACATAAGCATTAATTGAAGTGCCTTGTTTTTTCTTCATTGACTATTTCTTCACTTTTCCTATAGATATAGATACATGAGATCATAATGTGGGGAATGAATCTGCAAAATGAAATCAGTTGCCAAAAAGAACAATGTGAAGAAAAGCCTCTTTGTGAAGCGGAGGCTGTGGTCATTTCTTACTTCACTGTTGTATCCTGGTGGTATTTAGAGGTTGATAGGGCTTTAGTTTTCAGGAAAGGAAGAAAAAAACTGTGATTTTTAGCTCTTCTGATTGTTTGTTTTAGAGGGCTAGTGAAACTGGCGTGTCAGTATTGACCATGTTCTGTTATGATACTCTGAAGTGCAGCAGCCATGTGCTGCAAGATGGTTTTTTGTATTTTTACTTACAAAATAAAGTTAAGGCACATCTAAGATAACAGCAGCAGCCTCAGAACTTTATATTTTGTAGAAGTTTTTACTTTGGTGTTCTGAGTAATGCTGACCCTTCACAACTGAGATTCTTCCCTCAAAATTGTGGTATTTAGAAACAAAATTTTAGTTGGGTCAACCTGGAGGTATACTGGAGCTTCAGACTGGGTACCGATACAGTCATCGATTAAACCTTCTGAATAAACTTCTATATGGCCATGATGTTAAGGGACATTATAAAAGCCAAACAAAACAAATCAAACATGCAGGCATCTGTTTTATTTATGTGTTACTTTACATTGTGATCTGAAGTAGCTGTATGTATGTAACTTGTTGATACTTGACTGTGCTATAGAGTTCTTTGGGGAATTTTGTAGGGCTATTATTAAGGACACTGTGGCTTTTTTGTCATATTTCTTGTTGTTTGAGTCAAGGTATGAATGTGTATAATAGCTGCTATTGCTTTTGTCTAATTTTTTTAAGGTCTAGACTACAAGGAACACTTTTTAATCTATTCTTACTTGTTGAAAAAATAAGTTATTCCTCGTAGTCATGTGGAAAGATGTAAATTGCCTCAGGGTAAGGAATCTAACATGTTGTGAAATGGTGAAACGTGAGTAGCAATGTTGAAAACAGGCTGAGGTGATGGCTGACAACAAACCAGAAGTGACTGTGCAATGCGATTAGTGGCAGAGAAGGCAACTTGAATTCTCTGCTGGGTATGTGTTGCAGAATGGGGACAAAACTTTGAAAAACTTGATACAGTTACAGTTGCAAAAAAAGTTATGCCTCACTAGATAAAATTTTCAACTCTAGAGACTACTGTAAGTGTGTCTAAATTTCTATAGCTTGGAGGCAGCTGTTCCAAAAAAGTGTTGGTTTTGTTGTTTTGTTTGTTTGTTTCTAAGGTTGTATTCATCTTCTCACAAACACTGTTACATATATGCACACATATGTTTTCTTTGTATACCTTAGTCAGGTGTCAGTTAAAACAAAGGTACTTCTGTGTAGCAGCCAGGCAAGAAATGTGGTTGGCTTAGGGACAAGTACAGTAATTCAGTGCAAAGCAAGAGTGGGGTGGCCTGGTGATCAGGCTGTTAATAAAGAGACAGAGAAGAACCCTTCTAAGAATGCACTTCATTGATGTTTGTCGTATGAACTAAAGCTACAGAGAATGTAAAAATACACAATTTCCAAATTTTTATTTTAAAGTGTTCTGTGTGTGGTTTTGTTTTTTTGTTGTTGTTGACACTGTTTTTGTTACCATCTGTTATTCGATTACTGGGACTTTGGGCTGTTGACTGCTTTTTCTGGTTAGTGAAGAATTAATTCTCTAGTGTTGGTACATAAGTCAGATCTTTTTTTGCTAATAGTACTTGCAAGCATCTTAAATTTCTGACATTATTTGTTTCAGAAGCTTAGCAGCTCTTGGCAGTGATCCTAGAGCTTCTGAGAGTAGATTTTTAAGTTCTGAGAAACTTAAGATAATGTGTATCAGTGCAAAATGAAAGTATATCCTTGTGAGGACTTGCAAGGTTATTGCCTGCACTTAAGAGAAGTCTGACTCTGAGGTCTGATGATGATAGTTTGCTGTCTGACTTTTTTGAAATGCATAAATATTTCCTATGACGTTTTAATTTCAGACATGAAATACAGAGGTTCAGATGTGTTCACACAAAACCACTTTTGATGATTACCTTTGTCTAAACACCTTAGAAATGTGCACATTAAATATGGAAACAGGGAGGTTCACTGGGTGTTGAGGTTCAGACTTCTGGTCAGTTCACAGTTCTCAATTTGTCTTCATTTTTCTTGATACTGTACATAAAATGATGAACACCCATTAAACGGTATCTTTTTCTGATTCTTAGACGTGAATGAATTGAAGGAGTGCCTTCATGTGCTAGTGAAGGAACAGCAGAGTCTGGCCACACAAACTGCTACAACAGCTCTTTCAGCTATGAGGCTAAAGCAGAGGCTAGTTATCCTGGAACGATATTTTATTGCATTGAACAGAACAGTTCTTCAGGAGAATGTCAAAGTTAAGTGGAAAAGCAGTAGTATTCCTCTGCCTGCTGTGGATAAGAAAAGGTAATGACACGTGCATAAGCAAGTTAATACATTAGGAAAGTCATCGAAAGGTTGTCAACCTGTATATGAGAGTTTAATGTGATTTCTTCCTCCTTGTCAAGCATTAGCAGTAAAGAAACTCTTTTTATTCCTTAAAATGGTTTTATGTGGTGTTATCTGCCATGCAGCTTTTAGCTCCTTGGCTGATGCTTATAGTGTCTCTGTTCATACTGGTGCGTTTTTATTGTAATACATTGCTGTAGATATTATTTTTTGACCTGTAAGTGTACTTCTTTTGAGGTATTCCTTTTGTTCTACTCAGCTAGAAAGTATGGAGAAGCCCGTTTCAGAAATGATGCTGATGGAGGTTACATAGTTCTAATAACACTAATGTGTTTTTTTGTTGGTATTTGCTCAGTTAAGGCACATAACAAATTTATAAATACAAATACATGAAAGTTGAACATAGTTTTCCTTAGCTTGAGTGATAAATGCTGTAGTAGTAAATTTTATATGAAACCGTTTCTAGAAAACTAACTGAATCAGAAATCATCTGATTACTTTCCATGTCTAGATAGCTTATTGACCTAAAAATAGAAAAATCTATCAGATGAGGCATTAAAGAAGCTATTCAGTAGTTGAACAAGGTTCCTGTCTGACAGAACAAGCAATTCAACCGGGGAAATTTTTATATTAGATTATCTCTAGTTTCACAAATGAAAGGAGACAGTAAGTTGATATCATGACTAGTTATTATGAGATTGGAGTTCTGACAGTGATATCTTTCTCTGAATAGTCTATTCTCTGAAATTTTTTTTCAGTTCTGATTAAAAAGAGCATTGGTATATTTAAGTTATCAGACTGCTAAAAATACCAGTTTACATTGTTCTCTCTTGAAAAAGTCCTAAGTAGTTCACATTCTTTTGATGTCAGATGAAAAAGAAAACAGAATTGTTGGTGTCTTTCTGAGTGGAAAGAGTAGGGAATCTCCAGTTGCTAAGTACAAAGGAAAGCTTACTTAAATTGATGTGCTTGTTTGCGTAAAAAGGTTAACAGAAGTGGATGCGAATCCAGTGGGTATTAACAAAAGTTCAAGATATCTCTCTGTCTTACACACACACACCAATACAGAAGCTGCAAAGAGAGATCTGTAACATTGATACTTGAATGGAAAGATAAGAAGTGGATGGAATTAATTATCAGTAACTGAACATTCATTAAAAAAATAGCCTATAAGCATAGTTTATGCAGTCCAAATTAATGAGAAGTATAAACTTCCTGAGTAAATAATGAGTACATGAAGTATCTTACATCTGGGTAGTTTGAATACACCATCATAATTTCACTCTGAGTTAACTATAGGCACCTTTCTGATGGCAGTCAATTATGCCAGTCTAGCTAACTTTTTCTCTGTGAAGCTTTTTGATGTTGGGGGTTGAATTGGTTGTTCTTTGAAGCAGATGAAGTTGAATTTTGGTTTTTGACATTTTGTTGTTGATCACCTTCAATTCTTAAGAGACATTTACAATTCTTTGCAAATAAAAAATGTGTAATTATATATGCATGCGTATAGCTAAATTATAAAATCGCTGAATATACAAATTACACAAATAATTACTAATATAAATATATATTATTATTCTATAAATTATATCGAGACAATGCATATATAATTTTATTTAGCCCAAGACCTGTAGGCAAAGGTGTAGAAGGACTTGCACGAGTTGGATCCCGAGCAGCACTTTCATTTGCATTTGCGTTCCTTCGTAGAGCCTGGAGGTCAGGTAGGTCTACTCTGTAGCGTATTGCATATATTTTTCATTAGAAGACTGATGATTCATTAAAACGTGTGTGTATTAAATATTTGCATAGAACTATACATTTATAAATGTTAGATTTGCATAGTTGTGTTTTATGTTTATGTGGTATTATGCCCAACAATACTGTTGCTGATTGAAGCCATTCAAGCCATCCTTTTATGTTTAGGAAGGCAAATTGGGATTTCATGAAGAGAAAGTATTTTTAATGCCAGGTTTCAGAAAAGTTGGATTTATTCTTCAGACAGGGTTGATCCACTATATTACTACACGATAGTAGCAGCTTAGAAAAGGAGTTTGGAGCAGTAGTGTGAAACTTGCATTTAGTTTGTGTACTTGTCAGCAATTGTCAAATTGTAGAGGTTGGCAGAATTGTCATCTGTGCCACCTTAGCCTACCTGTTTGTCTCAGTCTGCGCTGTTTGTTCAGATGGCAGCTGAGCAGTTTGGCTCGCTCTTTGTCCAGCCAGCCCTAGTTCTTCATCTGATTTCCTTAGTGGATGCATAGTGGGACGAGCTGGTTTAAGAGTTGTCACCTTTCTGAGTGTATATTTTTTGAAGCAGATAGTTCTTCAGAAGTCTTGCAGTCAAAAATGTTCGTGCGAAAATTGAGAAATTTGTACACATTGTTAAGTAACTTGCAAGTTTGAGGTTTAAAAAAAAAAATCCGCAAAACATTGTATACAAAAATTTGGATATATCGTTTCTGTAAAGATGGGAGTGTAACTAGTATTACTGTGTTCCTTAGGTGAAGATGCAGACCTGTGCAGTGAATTATTACAGGAATCACTTGATGCACTACGAGCTTTACCAGAGGCGTCCCTTTTTGATGAAGGGACTGTATCTTCTGTATGGCTGGAAGTGGTGGAAAGAGCTACTAAATTCCTAAGGTCTGTTGTGACTGGGTAAGTTTCTTTTTCTGAGCATTGCTGAAGTAAATGGCAAACTTGTATCTCTTAGCAGCTGACGGTATAAACATAATAGTTTATGGAAAATTAAAAAGATTGCTTTCCTTTTCTAATGTTGTTATACAAGCAAGGAAAAAATGCATGAACTGTTGAAATGATGCTCTTTAATATGATGGAATTCCTTTAACTGTTTAAGAAAAATCTGAATTTGAGTATTTGGAATCACTGCATGTAGAATTAACTGAAAAATAGTGTTTCACTAACGTAAACTGTATCCACATGAAGAGTGCTTTGGTAATGCAATATATGTGTACACTTAATTGTGCCTTTCTAGTATAGTAAAATAATGCAGACTTCTGTGCATATAAGGGAAAATACACTCATATTGGACTTCGAGCACTCCCCTGCTTTTCCCTGTTATTTAAGAAAGCTTAAAGTTACCCTTTTACAATAGTTACCAGAAATTAATTGTCTTTTGAATACTGGAACTACGTTCTTATAGTGAATATTGTAAAGAATATTTGCATTTCACTTGTGAAAAATCTTTTCCATGTTCTTAGTATATTTAATAGAGCTATAGAGTAGATAGTGAAGCTTTGGGCAATTTTAAAGCCTAGCTGCCACTGTAAAAATTGGATCTTGTGTGGAACGTGTCCGCTTTTCTTCTCAGCTGCTTTTCTCACCAATTTTATATTTTTCTGTAAGTTTAGTGGTTCTTGGTGTGTTGTAGATGCTTTTGGTAAGCAAATATGTATTGTTTCTAATTACTTCTTAGTTAATGTATATTGTTTGACTTTTAAATAGAGATGTGCATGGAGCTCCCAGTACCAAAGGGCCAGGAAACATTCCGTTACAAGACCAGCACTTGGCACTTGCCATATTGCTAGAACTGGCAGTGCAAAGGGGTACACTAAGGTGAGAAGCGTGAGCGCTCTGATTTTTAACCATCACTGTCTGTTGGAATGGCCTGAGCAGTGCCTGTCTGCAGTTTTCATGGGTTTGGGTTTTATGTAGTAATTGTGGTTCAAAGCATGTGAACCTTTTCTGTAATGCAGTGGCGATCAAGATCTTGTGTTAGCTAGTGGAAAACCCATTTTTGATATTTTGGTAATCTGTTTAAAACGGAAAGCTGTGACATTGCGAAACTTCAAAATGTAGAAAGTGAACTGTATGGATAACCTAAAAGAATGTTTTTAGGAATGCTTATTAATAGAGATGTAAACTTCCTCTTTCAGCCAAATGTTGTCTGCAGTTATGTTGTTGCTTCAACTTTGGGATAATGGAACAAGGGAAACAGACAACGAGCGATCTGCACAGGGAACAAGTGCACCCCTTCTACCTTTGCTCCAAAGATTTCAGAGTATAATATGTAATAAAGATGTGCCCAATACTGAGGAAGAGATTCAGGTACTTACCCTTAGATTATTTGAAAGGGGCATGATGTTGGTATCAAATTTCATTTGGCTGGCTAAAATAATTACAAAATTATCCAAACAAAATTGGCGGTAGTGTTTTCCATGGAAGATGTATCCACTGCTGTTACTTGGTTTTCATGTGTACATTTGAGTTTCTTAAGGTAGGAGGAGGAATGTCATAGTATGGTTAGAGGTAAGCATTGTGTTTCAGAGATAATGCTTTTATGATAATTAACTTAGAGATGTGACTGGTTAACTTTTCTGCATATTTGGATTGTTTTTATTTAGATGTGTTTGAAGTTAATTGAACTATGACTCTTTGGATATTATTGAGGTTGATAAAACATAATAAACCAGTTTTATTATGCTTGTAACTTTCTATTATATTCACAATCTGACTATATTTTCTCAACACGTGTGTTTGGAATTTTCCTCTGCTGTAAGAAAAAGGATGTGTGGAGTTAATTTGGTTTCTCTTAAACTTGTGCAGATACTCAGTATGTCTAAAATATGTTGTGTATCTGTATGTGTAGTGGCATAGAAATACCTTGAATATTCTTCTGACTGCTCTTTTTTCTTTTCTAGCTCCTGACTTACCCTCTGAGTCCAAATGAAAGTTTTCTAAGGTATCTGACTTTACCACAGGACAATGAGCTAGCGATTGATCTGAGACAAACAGCTGTAGTGATCATGGCCCATTTAGATCGTCTAGCCACCCCATGTATGCCTCCGCAGTGTAGCTCTCCTACATCTCATAAGGTAACTGTTTGCAATGTCAAATTTAGTAAGATATTTTTCCTAAAAGCATTTTCAGTTTGGAAGGAAAACGACTCTGAGATTCTTCAAATTTCCTTTTGATTTTCACAAGGTAACGTTGAGTTGCCTAAAGTTGTCTTACTTGGGGCCTAAAGTTGTCTTACTTGGGTATCTTTTATTACATCAGTGCTCTTTCAGTCAGCCTTGGAGTACAATTCTATGGTTTGTGAACCACTCTTTCTTATCACAGCACTGTGGCTAATTCTGCCATATTGTGAGCTGTTGCTGTGTTTATTAGAGTAAATGTTCAAGACCAGACTTTAAATGTTGGTGGTCTGACATATAAACAAAAAAAAAAAAAGGAAGAAAGAAAAAAGTAAATGTTAAACTTCCCAACTTGAAAAATCTCTGAACACTTAGTGTAGATACTTATAGCTTATTTAGTACCAGACTAAACTGAATATGGTGCATGGAAGTCTTTATTTTTGATATCTTCTACTAGGTAAGCTTTATTGACTACTGGCAGTAATGACTGTCATAGATTCGAGTATAATTGGCACATAAAGGTTTAAAAAATAATCTGCTCTATGCATTTTATTAAGTTGCGTGTTTCAAAATTAGTACTTACAGAATTTCTTATTTTCTAGGGATCTCTGCAAGAGGTCATTGCTTGGGGTTTAATAGGTTGGAAGTATTACGCTAATGTGAGTGGTCCAATTCAATGTGAAGGACTTGCCAATCTTGGCGTTGTGCAGGTTGCCTGTGCAGAGAAGCGTTTTCTAATATTATCTAGGAACGGACGAGTTTATACACAAGCATATAACAGTGATACTCTGGTAAGAGTTTTTTTACATACTTTAAAAATGTGTTCTCTTTGTATTACTTCATAGCATAAGTCTGCTCCTTTAACTATTTACAGTGCCTTGGAAGAGTAGATGGAGACATGCTGATTTTTGTGAGCTTCTATGTTGTTTCTGAACTTTCAGAAACAGTGGGTTTGATATCTTGTATCGATTTGAGGAAATGCATCTGGCTTCTGTAATTCCTATTCAGGCTAGAGGTTATGAGTACAACGATAATTGCTTTTGTTGGTATGCTGGCCTCAGTAACAGCTGTAGAAATTGACAGATATGAAATGGGTTTTACTTCAGTCCTGTAACACCGTGCCCAAACTGTGTAGTTTCTCAAACAGAACTATACTGTAACAGAAACATTTGTCACTAAGGTTGCCTGTAAGGTTAAGATAAACACCATTTTCATATATACTGAAGACCTCATGAGGATGGGAACAAAATAACTTCGAAACATTGTTTTTGTCAGACTTGAATAGTTGATTTGACCTTTTTTTTTTTTTTAATTTATACCTTCACCTCATTAATTAGAGTGCACCGGTTTCATAAAGCCCAAAATACCACAAAATTCCACCACAAAACCATACCTAGTTATTCTGTATGTAGGCAAGTGATGGAAAGTATAAGCAGTTTTTGTAAGTGTATTGCTTTTTGTTTTGGTTCACAGGGACCACAGCTGGTGCAGAGTCTAGCTTCCAGAAATATTGTGAAGATAGCAGCACATTCAGATGGGCATCACTATCTCGCTTTGTCAGCAAATGGTGAAGTTTTCTCTTGGGGCTGTGGAGATGGTGGAAGACTAGGCCATGGGGATACAGTGTATGTAATAAAAATAATCATAACATTTATTTGCTAGTGTTCTGAATTCATGGTAAGAACTATTTAGTTGTGTAAATAAGCACATTCTGCATTTGACATTGGTCTCTCTACTGAACAGAAATTGCATTGTCCCACATGTTTTCTCTGCCTGTTATATTCCCAGTTCTGTATTAATGGTACTTTCTGAAATATTTGTAGATAGAGGGTGTGGTAGTGGTTGCACTGTTATTAGGTCTTTTATTCATGGTTTTACGAATCCACAACACATTTTCTCTAGAAACACTGACTCAAATGTTAGAGCAGGGTCATAGTTTCCTATGTAGTCATGTTGCATATTATTCCTTTTTTCCCCTGTGTTAAACAATAACGTTGTTTCTACAGAAAAGCAGGGCAGTAGTCTTCTACAGGGGTATTATGTAGGGGGTGTACATCAATATATTTTAGAGGTTTTAAGAGTCTTCCCCCAGTGCTGAATTCCATGTAAACCAAGGGAGTTACTACACAAACGTTAGCAGTGTCATGAAATTAATTGTTCAGATACGGTAATTAAAGATAATCTTTTTTGTAGTAGACAAATATTTTTTAAAAACACTGCATTAATTTAATTGGAAACAGAAATCACAGTTGTCAGACATTCCTTCAGTGGTTTGTATGTTGCTGAACAATCTGAACTTAATTTTTGGCCTATAGCTCTACTTATATCTTGATATTTCAGACAAGTACTAAGGTTTGCAGGTAGAATTGCAGCAATTGTTTTCTGACGAGTATGTCATGCCTTTTATTATCTACTCATCAGATCACCTTTTGTGAAATATGTCACCTTCTCTTTAAATAGCCCTCTGGAGGAACCGAAGATGATATCTGCTTTATCTGGAAAGCAAGCTGGGAAACATGTTGTTCATATTGCATGTGGAAGCACCTATAGTGCAGCCATTACTGCTGAAGGAGAGCTATATACATGGGGACGAGGAAACTATGGCAGGCTTGGTCATGGTATGTTACTTGATACCTTAAAGTTGTTTGTCAAAGAATTGTCTACTGCCTGTCTCACGTTGTCTTTTACCTAACTTACCTAAAGCTGATTTGAGAACCATATGTGGTTTCACATGAATTGAAATAATTATGGGAGGGATTGTCTTAAAACCACGACATTTCTGAGTTATGTGAAAATAAGCAGTTGGATGGAGAAGAAAAGTCTACACTGTTCTCTGTTCCCTTCCTTGTGAAGCAAAGACTATTTCATGGGTTAAACCCATATTACATACCTAAGAAACCATATGGGAGCTTAGTCATGATGCTCAAATCTGAAAACAAAATCAACACCGCCCCCTCCCCCCTGCCCCCCCCAACACCCAAAAGCACCCACCCCCCAAAAAAAACCCAGATGACCTTCTTGGTTTTGCTTCTCACAGAACTACTTTGTTTTGAAGGTTCCAGTGAAGATCAGACCATCCCAATGCTGGTCACGGGGCTGAAAGGACTCAAAGTTATTGATGTGTCCTGTGGGAGTGGAGATGCTCAGACTCTTGCAGTTACTGAAAATGGTTAGTAGCAAAACGTAACTTAACACTTCAAGTAAGCTTACCTTTTCTTCCTTTCATTCTGAAGATATGTTTATTTCTAGTGGCTTGAATTCTGTAGGAATTTGAAGCTGAAATTCCTTTTGGGGAATATGTGCATTTATACATCTTGTGTATAATGTATGCAGATATATTTCCATGCGTAGATACACAATATATTTGTTATGAATATGCAGATATATATTTCAATTTATGGTATATGTATTTAAATTACCCATGTAAATGTATAATATACACACAAAATATTATAGGCATGTACATACGTGTCTAAATTTTATGCATTATTATGTAAGTGCAAATAACTCACGTTGTCACAACAGGCAGAATTTTGAGTAGGAGAGTTGTCTGTGTTAACCCATGGGAAGTGCCAAAGAGAAGCTGTATTGAAATTCTGCTTCCCAGCATCCCCAGGCGAGGTGCCTAGGGTGAGACAGATTCAAAACCTGAATTTCACTGCATGAGGTTAAGCCCTGAAGTCATCCCTTAGAATGTAGATAGTTCCTGAAAGCTAGTTGTTCTTTTGAAACATAGTTGGTTATGGTGATGTGCAGTATTTAAAAGCAGAAAGATTTGCTCACCCAGGAAATGGAAACCCAGATTTTAATTTTTTTTTTTTTTTTTCTCTCTCGGTCTCCTTGCATGCTTCCATTGCTTATCAGAGTACCTTAGAGACTAGCTTATGCAAGTAGGGAACATAATTGCATCAGAGTGTAAAACAAGACTTTCTTTTTGGACATGCATGGATTTACAATTCTTGAACCATAGTTTTTTTTTAATGCAGATGTGAAATGACTTGACTCTAAGTTCCTACATCAGGGCTTAGATTTAGTAGTGTATTTCAGAAGAACATGATAGACAATGGCAGTTTTAATTTCATTTTGTGAAATGGTTGAATGACAACTGAAAATTAAGAAAACAGGTTTCACAGACAATTTGGCCATTTGGTGCAGAAAAAGATTTTACAAGTTCTTATACGTAATGCCTTATGATAAAAGAAGGCAGTTTTTAACTAAAGATCATACTACAGGCTCGATTTGCAATAAATGCTATACTTCATATGTTTTTAAGAGGGACTTTCTGTACACTGATGAATTTTCCGTGCATGTTGTGTGTTACACTTTTTATGTTTACTTTTATCAACATAAACTCTTCAAGTCTTTTTCTTCCTTCTTATTGTGGTGAACAGTTGGAAGTTAATTCATAACTGCTATTGTTAAATTGCAATTTGAAAATTGTACTTATTACAGAATCTCAGATTTTTAAGAATTTTCTTGTCAAAACAGATAGCTATCATCACATGAAAAAGGAATGCAACAGTTTTTGGTTTTTTTTCTCTTGATTTAAAGGCCAAGTGTGGTCCTGGGGTGATGGAGATTATGGAAAACTGGGAAGAGGAGGCAGTGATGGCTGCAAGACTCCCAAGTTGATAGAAAAACTTCAAGATCTGGACATTGTGAAAGTACGCTGCGGGAGTCAGTTTTCTATTGCTTTAACCAAAGATGGCCAGGTCTACACCTGGGGAAAAGGTGACAATCAGAGACTCGGGCATGGAACGGAAGAGCATGTTCGATATCCCAAACTGCTGGAAGGCTTGAAAGGTAATTATCAGAGCTGGAAATACTCCACAAAGTTCTTTTTGCTGTTGGAATCTTTTACTGGACACTAATGATCTCAACTTTAAGAATGATGGTACCATGTACTCTGTCATATTTTATGCTGGTTGCATTGAAAAAGGTAATAGCGCACATTTTCCATCACTTCTGCATTTATACCTTTAGAATTCTAGCAGACTGAGAGCCGCTATGACTACTTTAAATGCTGCTTGTCTTCTGTTCTCTTTACTCTTACTGCTTTTCTTTTATTAGATTCACAGAAATGCTTGTTTAAAACATGTATTTTTGCATTGTTATGCAAATAAATGTATATAATACATATATGCTTAGATTAAGGCATGTGAATGGAATAAATGAAAACCACAGGCAACACGAAATGTTGTTTAAAGTTGTGTTCGTGCCAGTACTTTTGACTAGTTTGTAACAGAGTGAATATTATTTCTTGCATTTGTGAGAAACCTGAGGTTTTGTAGGGGAAGATGAGGAAGAAACCTCTTTTATTGCTGTCTTTCCTAACATTGTTGTTCATCTATGATGTATGATCTGATTGAAAGTAACTTCTGAACTAACGACTACAATGTAACTTTACAGTCTCTGTTCATAGATGGGGAGATCTTTTAATAAACCTTCCCTGAGAAAGTATATAAGAAGAAGGAGTACAAAATAGAAGATTGTTCTTAAACTTGTAAACTTTTGTACTTATGCTGTCTCTTAAGAATCTTTACATATTTCCTTGGTTTTTCTTTTGCTGTACTCTTCCAATCCACTACTAAAGGCAAAGGTGAGACTCTTGACATCGATAATGTGTTCATAGTTAAGTATGGTTGTAATTAGCAGTTTTCCTTGCCTCTGGTATTTTTCTGTTAATGATTGCAATCTTTAAGTTGTATTTTCAATATTTGACTTTCCTATCAGGAAAAAAAGTGATAGATGTAGCAGCTGGATCTACCCATTGTTTAGCACTGACTGAAGATAGTGAAGTGCATAGCTGGGGAAGCAATGATCAGTGTCAACATTTTGATACTTTGCGGATCACCAAGCCAGAGCCCGCAGCTCTCCCAGGATTAGACACAAAGCATATTGTTGGAATTGCTTGTGGGCCTGCTCAGGTAAGTTTTATTTTTGAACTGTTAATTGCGATTTGTCTTTGTCTCTCACTGAGACTGGTTCGGTACACTAATCCCAGTCCCTCCTTCTGTGCTTGCATGTCTTTTCTTATCCTTATTTCTTATTCTGAATAAATGAAGGCTTGGAAAAAACAAATCTTGTGCAGTTCCCCTGCCAAAAAGGGAACTTTCCCTCTGTTCGGTGTTCTGAGAAGTAGCTCTTTGCCTGTTTTGTCTTTTGTCTGGTACAGCAACTGAAGAGTTGTCAAGCAGAATGTTTCCTGCAGCAAAGATAGTGCGGGGTCTGGACTGGCATAACACCACTTTGGAAAATGTGCTAAGACAGTTCTTCTCTGGGATTGGTAGGGTTCTGTGTATGTTTATGAGGATGCAAGTGGAGGGTTCTCTTCAACAGATGTGCTGATGTTATTTCTGCATCTTCTATTACTGTTTGAAGGCAGATGTTAGCTTTACACTCCTGTCTCTAATCAGTGTCGTCTTATATTTGGGAAATAACTGTGTAACTTTGTATATTATTTCTGTTTATAGAGTTTTGCTTGGTCATCGTGTTCAGAATGGTCAATAGGCTTGCGGGTGCCTTTTGTGGTGGATGTTTGCCCCATGACATTTGAGCAGCTAGATCTTTTACTAAGACAAGTGACAGAGGGAATGGATGGCTCCTCTGACTGGCCCCCTCCTCAGGAAAAGGAGTGTATGGCTGTGGCAACACTAAACCTTCTAAGGCTTCAGGTACCTTCAATTTATTATGCATTGAGCGGTCATTGAACTAAATGTTTCAGTAAATTGCTTGGATGAAAATAGTGGACTTAATGTGCTTTTTAAATCAATAAAAATGTTTTAAAGTGAAATAAGTACAGTATCACTTTCTGCTTTGTGAAATTTGGCAGCTAGTGGTTGTTTGTTTTTTTTTCTTCTTGACAGCTTTTGGATCTCATTAAAAATGAACTATAAAAATAAAATGTAAATTGATTAAACCTTGTATACTCGCTCACTAAGCCCATACACTCAGAGATTTTGAGCATTTCTAAGAATTTTAAATAGCATTTCTAAGAGTGAATTTCCTCTTTAGAAGGTATCTGATATTCACTGAAGATGTGCTACTTTTCCTAGCATACTGTAGCAAAGTAGAAACAGTTGAGGTTATTCTTCAGGTTATTATTGTTCAGATTTTTAAATATAATTGTTAAATATTAGATAATA